CCGGCGGGGCCCGAATTTTTAACTTGTGTTGGGCAAGGCCGTGGCCTAGGCAACACGGAGTTTTCCTCATTGGCATCCCAACAATTACTCCATTCACACACAGAAGAAGGCAATGGCAAGCCACTTCTGGATCATCTGCCAAGAACGTATATGAACAGGTCCCAGTCCGAGAAAAGGATGGAAGGATCCTGTTCATATGGACCTGTCGTCAGACAGAACACTAATAATAATAATAAATAATGAGATCATCTACCGAGAAAATAACAGAATCTTGGTATCAACATGCCGGTTAAAGCCAGTTAACATGCTTCCTATCCTCATATAAATCTCAAAACATACTGGATTTAGAAGAGCTCAGATTCCACATCGAGTTTCTCCGCTTGGTTTCCACACTTGAGACTATGGGCAGAAATTCGTAATGTTGCTGCAGAAACTGTTCGACTGGTGAAGGCGGGCATCGTGATAAAGAATTGGATTTCTGTCTCATGTACGTTCTCTGTGGACTGCTGAACGCCTTTGAACTCGGCAGTGGTGAAGATATCTTAATGTCTTTATGTTGTTCTGCTAGAACCGGCAATGAAGTAGATTTTGTCTGATGCACCTGGTCTACTTTCAGCCCTAAAATCCTCGCGGCTTTTGGTAAGAAGTCTTGTACTCTTTCCTTATTTTCTGAAGACTGATTAAAAGCTGATTTATTCTCACGCTGTTTATTCTGCTGAGCTCTCAACCAAAATATCCAAGATGCTTTTGATCGTAACTTATGTTCTTTCTCTGCACCAGCAGTAGATGATTTTGCAAGTTTATTTTGTTGATAGGAGAAAATTGGTAACCAAGATATTCGTGAACTTCTTTGTTTCTGTAGTTGCTGAATCGGTGGAAGGGATGGAGGTTGTCGAGACTTGACATTCGACGACTGACTTGCCTCTTGTTTGGTAGGAGGACATGGAACATTGTTGCTGGCAGCATTTACAGTCGCTTTATACCATCGAGATCCAACAAGCCTCAGCGAAGATCGAATTGATCTTGAGCGACGTAAAGTGGGAGAAATCGCAGAATTAGAATAATGTCGGCGTTCAACTACTTCCATTGTTGGTCATTCTTTGGAAATACTTTAATAAGTTTGTAGTCATTCAACCACAAAATCTTTTTACATGAAAGCCACAATTTCTTGTGCGCATAATTCTGGTAAATGTCATGTCTGTCTGCGTTTTTAAACTTAACAATATTAACAGTTACACTGGTCACACTGTCCTCCATCCTGAAAGTTACGTGTAACTGAATTTATCACGTCTCAACTTATTCCACATCTGCTGATTCATCCGTGAAGTTTGTTACACTTGCGACAGACAGAAATTTAAAATGATTGATTGATTTGCATACTGACTTATGTTAAGGGAGGCCTGAATTTTACATTCCATCAAAAATGAGACATGCCATTGTGTTTTGGTATAGGATTTGACAAAATTACTATACTGCTGCATAAATTGAAGTGTTTAGTACGAATATTTGTTCGGAGATATAGAAACTTTGAAAGCCATTAGGAACTAAAAACATGTTACTATTGCCATTAAGTTAGCTTACAAAGTACACAATAACAGTGTCTACATTCATTTGTTATAAATTCTTACACTGATATTCTAACTTCTGGCATTTTTTTATTGCGAAGATATTTGGAGTGTTAAGACAAAGAAATTATTTGGTATAGTCAACTGATTAATCTTTCATTACTCTGTTTTTGAGTCATTAATTAAATCTTACATCTAGCCTGAGAATATATAATTTATCTTAAAATGTTAAACATGTATGTTGTCCAATAAAATCTTCTTGGACAATCAGCCGCGTTAACGCACCGTTCTAACACCCCACAATGTAAACTGCATCCTCATTTAATCACATATATCTTGTGCCAATCATGGATGCCAGGCAGAAACGTGTCCCACACCATAGATGAAAATAAATTACGTACAAAAGATTTTTCTACAGTGGTGCATAGGCAATATTACAATATTTTGTTAGGACATGAGACAGTCATTAAATTTTTTGACAATAATTTACTGGCATTATCATATTATTTTGCTTGGATATTTTCCATTGTCTGCTGTTTAAAAATTTATTTTATTTTAAATTTTTTAACAACAGACAATGGATATGTCCAAGGAAAATATCTGTTATACGTACTTTAAGGAACTGAACCCATATGTACGTATTTCTTGTTCTCAGTCTGAACCAACACAACAGAGGCAGATACAAAGGCAAGCCTGTATAATTTATCGCTCGTCATGTCAACATTTCAAGAACAATCTAAGACAGGATAATTCGTAAGACAGGAGAAACTGATAACGTTCTGATATGAGATATCCCCAGGAACACGGCTGTCAAAGACGGGGTTTATCCTGTTCTGATTCAAAGCGGTCGTTATGTACGTGAATGTGTCATCCTTGAAAGATTTCACAACTTAAGTCTTTTTCAAAGACTCCGTGAATCTACGTGCTGCCAGATGCCAGACAGCAAATGAGGGGTGCAGACTGCACGACCTGCAAAACCCCAGTCGGAAAAGCAATGCTTTCCAGCCGAACTTAAAGAAAACTTATCCAATAATGTAGTTTGTTGGTCGGCCAAGTTTCCAATCAGAACACCTAGAAACAGCCAGATGCAGGAGACACACACACACACAGAGATAACTGTTCTGCAGTAATTTATATTTCCTTTTCTCAAAATGAGAAAAGGAAGCCATAACAAATCCTTTATTTTTTAGGAAGAAAGCTTGCAACAATTCGGTTTTTAATCATCTGTCTTCACGTCTCGTTCCTAAAAACCTTAAAATGAAACACAACACTGCCCGTTATTTTATATGGATATAAAACTGTCTTTTGCGCGGCTGTGAACATGATACTGGACATTTTAATTTCATAAAAGGCGGGATAAGTTTCGATTGGTTGAGAGTTTATCAAGTTTCTCAGGAAGGGTTATGTTCAATGAGACATTAAAACTGTTAATATATTTTAAGAGAATTTCAGTCGTGGCTGAATTTAAAAAAAAAATGGTAAAATCCGTGACAAATAATAATTTTTGTGTGACATGATATAATTTGCCATCCCTAAAACATATAGGAATATCGATTAGCTGTTACCTCCGACTCATCACTGTAATATAGGAATATCGATTAGGTGTTACCACATACTATTTATTGCAATCATCCGATCACACAGGAATATCGATTAGCCTTTACCATAGACTATTTGGAGTCTGAGGACGCCACCGGTGTGGTTCGTATGTGTTTTAAAAATAAAAATAGCAAGCTTCCTGTCCAGTCGAGCGTTGGGATAGTTTTTTACTCGCTCTGTTCAAAGGAGGGGGAGGCGTAGGTCAACAGAATTACCGCGGAACGAAGCAGAGGGAGGGGCGAGGAGCAAATTGCAAAGCCCTTTTTTCGATTAATATTCAAATCCCGACAGTTTTAATCCTCATTAAGCCTGAAACATGAGTAACACAAATTACAAGTTTCTCTGAAGAGATTTTAGGTTATCACGCCGACAAGTACGAAAATAGCAGTCTTCTGGAAATAGCTTCCTGCCTTCATCATCACCAGGGACTCTCAAAGTCACGAAGTAAACTTGAGTATCTACAATTTTAAGTGTTTCAAACGTTCAATTGTGTAGATCAGGGGTGGCCAACCCAAATGATCTTTCGGGCCACTTTGGAAATGCATCATAACTCCGCGGGCCACATATAAAATTATATATCCCCATATTAGATTTAGATACACTATAGACATTTTTTTGGAGTGAAAAATTGAAACATAATGAGTTATTATTATTGTGTTTACTATTATTCTTACATGTAAACATAGATAATATAATAATACTACTTTGGCCATTATAAAATAAATATATTTTGTAAAAGTGTGATGAATCTCGCGGGCCGGAAAAATGTTCAAGGCGGGCCGCGAGTTGGCCACCCCTGGTGTAGATTTTCAATTGACGAGTTCCGAGGCAGTACTCCAAGAATTCATACTCTCAACGTGTTGCTATTTTTTAACACACAAAGTACTTCATCGTACTAAAGTTATCGGTATAATCAGTCATAAAATTAGGCCTACATGAATCGTGTTGAGTTTAATAATAACATTTCTTTTAAACTAGCAGACAACAAGCCTGACAGAAGTCTTTGTCACACCACTTCGGTGACCTAGGAGCAAATGGGAATATAATATTGAAACAGGGAGTGAGGTTATGGGCTGGATTCATCTCGCTCAGTTAAGGTCCAATGCCAGGCTCTTGTGACCAAGTTACTGAACATTAAGATTTCATGAAAGGCAAAGAATTTCTTATACAACTGATCAACTATCACTTTCTTAAGGCCCTTGCTAACTCGATACAGTTAATTCGGCTTCACTTGTGACGTAAATTTGAAATTATTTCTTCGGAACTGTTTTAGAACACATACATCATGATCTCGAAGTAAAATTTATATTTGATCAAGACTTTAGTTCTCACAATTAATTTATTAGTAATAAAGTGCAAAGTTCAAGAACATAATTAGTTTATAGCCACCCTGAAATATTTTATATGATGTAAGATTCCAGTATCGGGGCAAGTCCTAGAAACTGCTGCCTCCGCAAGAAGATTAAATAAAACGCTACGTTAACTTCATTAAAGCAAATATCAGGTTCGTCCTCCCCTCAACTTTTGAATTAACTTCGTTATATAAGAGGTTCAACAGATGGATTCTAGGAATACAGAACCTCAGTTCTATGATGTGGATTAAAGAGAAAACGAAACATTAGCGCAGTTCAATTCCATTTCATTATCTTTCAGAGTTCCCGATTAAACAGATGATTCTTTATTTCAAAAGCGACCTTTTAATTGCTACTAAAACCTCTTGAGTCATCATGTTCCAAATATTTATCCACTTTGCTGAATTGCGTTCTCTACACAGAAGACTGCATTCGTCTGTCACCGGGTTTTTGAACTCCTAATATTTTTATACATGGTTACGTTGTTTTTCAATTATTGAACATTTTTGTAAAATCAAAATCAGATATGAATTAACCTACTGCTCTGTTTTAAAGTTATAAATACATGAAGAAGATATCATCTTAAGAAGATTACAAAATTACAGCTATGTACACTTTCATCCAAGTTTTTCAAGAAATAGAACAACCAGACGGTCGTCAGATATCAGGTTCTCACGACCCTCTGGGATATTGTAAATTGTATATCGACGTTTCGGAGGTACTTGCTGCATCCACCCACAGGGCGATCATCAGCATCATCGTCCTTATGACGGAGGCAGTAGGTATCTCTCAAACGTCGGTCTACTTCCACGAAAATCCCAGGATATCCTAGAAGGTTGTCATTTTCAACCACAGGGTCATAATAATAAATGTGCAAGTTCTGAAATAAATATTAATGACTTGTACTGAGGTGGAAGATCTTCACATCCATCAAGCCACGAATTCATATTTCTACGTATCTTTAGCTAACAGTAATATAACAATAAATATAACGCGTTAGACAGTACAGTAGACGTTTTTTCTACAAAAAAAAATTCCAGTCATCGTCAGGGGAAAAACTGCATGGATGGATCTGACAGAATGTTGGTCGCGTGGTTTTGACTTCTGTAAACCGTGTGACTGCTGAATAAAATAATATAAACTAGGTTACTGTGAAAACGGGGCGTGGGATCCATCACGGTGAAGCTGTGAACTCAAAATACACAAACCGAATAATCAGATTCGAGTAGTGTAATCACGTAAGCTGAAACGCGCGTCTGAAAGAAGACTACTTCAGTTACAAGAGCTTCTGTGAATGGATATACTCGATTTTAGTTACGTTCTCGTACAAGACGCGGATCTGAATTTTCTTTTAAAGTTAATGTTGGCTGAACTAAAATCTGTTCTGTAAGTCAATAATAACAGCGAGGCGAGAATAAAATATGGACGAGGGGAGAGGGCAGAAATTATGGTACGACGAAGGGGGGGTGTCCGAGCGCCTTCAGCCTTCAGACAAGATCAATTTTAACCACAAATTTCGATTACTAAACGCCAACTTCATAATTTCGATAAAATTACATTTACAAATGAATAACACGAAAGAAAAATTCTCTCAAATTTTAATCTGTAAAGAACAGTCTCAACTGAAAGCAAAGTATAAAATATCGATGGCGGATTTCTGGTTTGTGATACCACATGGTCTTTTACGTGGTTACCGACGTTTAGGTGGAATATGGAGTCACAACCTATTCACCGCTACTAGAAACTTAAATCTCAAAATATGAAAACCTGAAACCAAACCAGAGTTTACAGATCAATCAAAGCTGTATTATTGTTACGTGCTGTGTGCATGGTTTTTTTTAATTTAAAATAAATTTAATGAGGAAATATCACTCGTAGTCGAACTGTAGTGTTCCCTGTGTTTCCCCTTAAATTCTTATAACTTAACAAAGCACGGAAATGCGGCTTTGGGATTTCCGTACAAAGTGTGGTTTACGCCGTAGCATTACATTTATCATCTCAGATTACATTACCCTCCCTTCCGTTCCCCCGTCTTTCTAACTTATGTCGCCTTTCAGTAAAAATACAGATTAATTTATGAGCGATGTATAGTAGCCTACGTCCTTACAAAGCGACTGTCATCTCACGTATTATGTGGTAAAATGTAAAGCTGTCCTCCTACACGCCATGTTGGCGGTTGGGTGGAGAGACGGGTATAGCTCCTACTAGTTCTTGACCTCGGCGATAGATGGGGGTGAGTGGTTAGCGTCAAGCTCCGGCCGCAATTTAACGACGTTATTCTTGTGCTGTGAGTGCCACATCAAAAATCATTACACTGGATAAAACGAACAGCAACGAAATAAAACTCGGTGTTATAAGCAACAGGCAATTTGTTTGTAAACACGAGAGAGGCATAGCTAGATTGGACGCAGCTTATGTTCACGAACTCTTTGTATTCTTTCCCTGTTTTAATTTTAATGTCTCCCCACAAGGTCGAAGTCCGGATGTTGCTACAACTAACATTGGAAATGAAAAACAACTACGCAGTTACGCAGCCAAGTGCTTTAAAATCCATTTGTATATTTTATAATATTCTGCCGAAATTCCAAAAATCAATAAAAATTCGAGTACTTCAGGTCGAGATTAATTGGATAGGAAATTAATGATAAAAACGAAGGGAACATAATTACTTCGGTCGTAGTGATATTTAAATTATGCAATCAATCAATCAATCAATTAATCACGAGACTTTCTAACCAACCAGATATTCCTACAACTAGTCACAGTCTACTAGTGACAGTCAGTTCGTTGTTAACAGCTGTATTTCATAATCATACCATAATGGTGCATAAAACCTACTGAAGCTCCTTAATGGCAATACGTCAACATATCAATCAATCAATCAATCAATAATTACAGTATTACACTATCACTTCACTGCACTGAACACGGTTTTGTGACGAGATTTCCACATATGAACTAGTTCCAATCACAAGTCACATTTCCACTTTAAACGTATCACTTTTCTTTTTCCAACCTTAAATTTTGTCATGTATTCATCAAACGCCATCTTAATCCTTCAAATGAAACGTCACTCAAACAACAATGCACGTCCCGACAGCCACCACGTTGTCCATATTATCAAAATAAACAAATAAAAGGCGAAACAGAATTCCCTACTCGGAACTCCAGGCCCTGCGTTTGTAATTGGACGTGCATACGAACTGCAATCTGCTTGGTCGCACACACTACGTTGTGTGTCACATCCTGGCAATGGTCTACTGCAACCTTTCTTCTTTTGTTTCCTGTTGTAAAAGGGGGATGTTAAATGCGCATTACTATAATGCTTGGAAATCGTGTGGGAATGCAACAAGGAACAGCCTACTGACATGCAATGTATGCTAATGACAGCAATAAACGCACATATTCGTAATGAATGGCAATGAAGTACTGTAGAAAAAAAGTCTCTTTCGTCTACCCATCTCAATATAGGTCATCAGCGGGCCACGTATTAGGAACCATTGCTTTAAAGTAAAATACAACTGTCTCGAAGTGAGGCATTCTGTTGTGGAATCCTGCTATCAACGCTGAAGACTGGACAGGATATTAACAAATGTGTCACTTATATTAACTACGTAAACTACGCTTAAGAACGTGGAGTACTTAGACGTTTATCAAGATAAGACAATTTTATTATTATAATTTTTAATATTTTTGCATTTTAACACGCCTCTAAAAAACAATATCTTAACCTCACAATATTATATCAAATCTAAAACTTCTTGTATTTTAACACGCCTCTTAAAACAATATCATGAACTTCAATTCTTAACAAATCTAAAACTTCTTGACGATGGTGAAGAGTCAATTGAATAAAAATTTTCTTGGATATTATCCATCGTCTAGTAAATATATAAACGTAAAACGACGTTTCGTCCGGAGATAGGGATTAGCTCTATCTAGTGGGCCCAACTGTGTAGGAACCTGAAGACGGAGATAGAGTCCCATCTCCGAAACGACGTTTTACGTTTTATATTTACTAGACGATGGATAATATCCAAGTAAATTTTTATTCAATTCAATTCTTAATTTTTATCATAATCGTGTCCTGCCTGATGATGTTTATATGTTAGACCGAAGCATGTGTATATATTGTAGTTACCAATAATACGTCACTGATATAAAATAAATATGTTGTGTACACGCAAGTAATTCTTATTGTAAGAGTGGTTTCAGCAGCAGGACATAACGTTCTTTAACGACACTTCCTGAAGACATTTGTTTCTTTTACCCTGGATTCCTTCGTGTCACGCTTTCTTCATCGAATTATCATTATCCTCGCTTTCGTAACATCCGTGTAGAAGAGGATAAACTGAAGAACTAGTGGTTCGTAATCAGCTGGTGGAGAAACAACTTTAGCCAGGATATGTCGACGGATTCTCCAACGCAGTTCTGATGAAGGCAGACCGACAATGCGCTGTTCACATTTTGGTCTTACACGGGCGTATCCCCTGAAAACACAACTTCCGTCTTCGGTTATGAGACACGTAGAATGTTGAAAAATCTTCTCACGTTTATATACACATCGTTGTAGCCATCTTCACGGAAAATATGCAATGGTTCGGCTTCCAAAATCGCCAAAACATTATTCACCCTGAAGATGGCAACGGCAATGTTTGCCGAAACGTCGGATAATTTTCAACATTAGACGTAGTTCATCGTCGAAAGCCAAAGTCGTGCTATCAACTCCAGTCGCGAAAACCTATGGCCAAAAATCCCTCCGGAAGGTTGGTATACACACCCACAAGACATCAAAGTTCACAATAAAACGATCCGTACTGTTATCGCCGTTAAAACTTCAAATGCCTCACACATACGTGTTGTTTGCAATCATATTAAATTGGCTTACAACAAGAAACTTGAGGCAAAGGAAGCAAATACACGGAACACGACACATTCCACTTTGCTAATTAAAAGCATTTTAGGTTAATTCTCATCCATGTTGTGGGTGTGTGTTCAGGGCTCGTCTTACGTCAACTATTGATAATGATATGTGCTAGGCTGAGGCCACGTTGGATGCAAATTTGTGAGGTTGCTGGTCAGTTTTTGCTCGTAAGTATTCCTACGAACAGCGCGTTCACACTGAAACGACTGCATGCAATTGGTTTTGATCTAACATTGGACTCTAACAGTCATGGATAAGTAAAATTCCTGCCTTCCGCAAAAATAGTACTATTAAATTACTATTTCTTCAAGAAGGTAGACATTCTGGAACCATATTTTTTCCCCCGAATATTTCCGAATGAACTATGGACTTTTATTTATAATTGATAAAAATTACTCTACGTCTAAAACAGCACGAAATTTTTAAATAAAATATTACAATATCCAAAAAAATTACCCACTTACCTATTCATCTACCCATAAATCCCAACATCGTTCTCTGCTTTACTATTTATTTTTCCAAACTGGGTCTTAATGTGTTACTGAATTGATAACGAGTTCGTCAGATGATACAATATAAAAATATCGCAAGATGTAGGTAAATAATATACTTATCAATCAGTTTTATTTGTACATACATTTGGAATAAGAGACGCACGGATAACTAATTATTACACCCTTCGCATTAGTATCATAAATGTGATGTTTCCTCTTTGATTCAGGGTGTACATGACAACGTAGAATCTCAGCGCCACAAGGCAATTAATCAAGTTTTCCAACCATACGAACTGAAAGCAAAAGCTGAAATTGCTATTCATAACACACCACGAGCTTTATCTGCAATTACGGAAGAACAGAGCTTTGATAACGTAACGCATTGGCATATGGCAATTAATTATGACGCAGCAACTATTAACACTGCAATTATATGCCATTTGGCACACATTAACTCAAAACTAAATGTCAGATAATATTTTATATGATTCAATGTAGGTACCTATTATCAACAATCCATATCGGTAACCTGTAAATCTTTCACTAATTTCTTTTCGTTCCAAAAACTAACTACGAGCGTGATTTGTCCCAGTCATTCGAAATACATTAATTATCGTCCGAATAATAGTTTTAGATTCAGTCCGTACCGCAAAGAATACACTACACTTCACCATTACGAATAAGTTTGCTAACTCTGTTTAAGGAAATAATTTCTGAAGATATCCGTCTTCTGGGTTGTTGCGCTGTGTAGTCTGGTCGATGTTTACCAACATTTCAGAGGTCAAACTGCCTCCGTCATCAGGGCGATGAGTATGAAGATTTCTGTCTTCTGGGTTGTTGCGCTGTGTAGTCTGGTCGATGTTTACCAACGTTTCGGAGGTCATACTGCCTCCGTCATCAGAGCGCAACAACCCAGAAGACAGAAAAATTCAATACGAAACGCTGTGGAAACCTCAAATCTTACATATATTTAATATTCTCGTTTTTTCCTTGTCATATCTATAGCCGACTTCTGAACACTCAAGTCTTACGAAATAATTTCTGTTTACACTGAGAATCATATGAAACATAAATAAAATATGTGAGCAAAATTGAAAATTATTGATAAAATTTGGGGCACATATAATTTCCACCGGCCTTTTGTACGTCTTTTATACAACAATAATCAAGAAATAAAAATATATTTGACATCAATTGCGGTGTGTCCAGTATTTACAAATATATTAGCGTGTTTCGGGTGTCATTAGATTGTTTATTAATTTTAAAGACGAATGTGAAAGCTGACACCTAGATACGTGAAGAGCATTTCAATAAATTTAGTCAACATGGAGTCACATCGTTCTGCTTGTAGGCGTTACACCAACTATTTGCCTTATATGAAAACCTGAGCTCGGGTTTTCTAAACGCACCTCACAAAGTAACTTCACACGTTCAGGTAATAAATTTCTCACAGCGACGAATATGAAGATGGCTGTCTTCTGGGATGTTGCGTAGTGTAGCCTAATATAAGTTTACCTATGTTCCAGGTCGTTCGCCCTGCTGATGAAGGCAGTAAGCACCTCAACACGTCTCAGATAAAAAAAAATTGCCTGCGTCTTCAGGAATGAAGTGGTATCTACCTACAAGTCCACAAGGCGTTACAACCCAGAAGACCAACATCGAATAGTTCACTGTCGTGAGAATCTGAGACGTGTATGTGAACCTGTCTGCCATAGGAGATTCAATTTAGCATTGTCTTTAATAAGGCAGGTTTAATAAATTATACTAATGTATAACTTTACGGTTTGCGAGTTTATAAGAAAGGACAGACATAGTCCTGGGTCTTGAACACGTTGAACAACCCCTTCCTACTAAGATATTTAACTTACCCATACACCCCGAGTAAAAATTTCTGGTTGGATTTGTATTCAAAACAAATTAATCCTAAATCTATCTACCTGTGGTCATCGTAGATTTCTGAATCATATAGCAATTTCGTGCAGTGGGGATAATTGTAGGTTCCGGTCGAGGGGATGTTTCCCCCCTCCCCACCTGGTTCTGCAGGGTTCATGCGAAGACACTGAAGACTGGTGCCAAGTGCTCACCCGGTGGAACTATACAATGAATACAGCAGAAGTAGGTTATCTGTGGCACTGTCCGCTCGCCACGAGAGGTCCCGCTGGGTGTGTGATGGGGATGAAAGGCTAAGCTATAATTTTTCATCCCTCAAAAACTATTCATGTACACAATGCACTGCACTATTGGAAACTTATTTTTATTTTTATTTAGTGTTCTGTCTGACGACAGGTCCATATGAACAGGATCCTTCCATCCTTTTCTCGGACTGGGACCTGTTCATATACGTTCTTGGCAGATGATCCAGAAGGGGTTTGCCATTGCATTGGAAACTACCAAAATGCAATGTGTTTGGAATAGTAATATGAGTGCGCATGAGCAGTAAGATCAGTCTGCTCTGTTCTTTCTACCCAGCGGACTTACTGTAGCACGCGTACAGTACAAAAGCCTTGCCTTATTAGAATAAGTGAAACAATCGAGACTCGTGCGGCGATTGACTAATTGGTAAGTTAAGAGAGGCACGACTAAGGTGAAACATCAAAGGTTCCCGCCAGGAGACGTAGTTTTGTAACCACTTTAGTACTGAAACTGTTTTCGGAGTCTTTCAGGGCGGCGTTGGCAGATTTCGCTTCAGAAGTTGTCCTCACACATACATATAAACGAATTATTTCGCACAGAAGTTTTACAGAGAATTTTTGCTTCACTAAATCAACTTAAGTGCAAAATATAGAGTTTTAAACTCGATACGAAGTGTGGAAAGCCAACGGCATGTGACAATAGCTCTCCTACAAATGACAATCG